GCGCCCCGGGGGGCCAGCAGCGGCTGCCGCAGCATCAGCGTTCCAGGACGACAGTGCACCCCGGCCGAAGAAGCCTGTGGCGCTCCGCGGCCCCACGCCTGGCAGTCTCCATATGGGGGCTGGCTGGGCGCCATCGTTGGAAGGCGCATCCTGCGCGCGCCCCTCGCAGCCAGATGACGACGAGACGGCGCCCCAGACTACGTCCGAGGCATCGGGGGCAGCTCCGAAGATTGCCGGATGCCAGTTTTGTGATATCCGTGAAACGTATAAGAAGTCATTTGGGAATGCAAGTTCATCCGCAGCATCAGCTGCTGCTGTGATTCCCGCGGGGGCACCCGCTGAATCGGCATCTGCATCTTCGGGGCAACCTGCTACTATCCCTGAATTAAATCAGGGAAGCAGGCGCTGCCGGGAGCCTCTGGGCACTCCTCGACAGATGATGGTCAACCCAGCCTAGAGGCCCAATGCTGACGACGGTTCGAGCCGCTACAGAGTAGCGCAGTGCCAAACAGTAAGTAACGCAACGTGCGCTACTGAAAGGGCTCTCGAATGCCAGCGCGTCCGCAACCGCCTGCGGACACAGCCTGCCTTTTGCTATAGCGCTGAGGCTGAGTATTTGTCGAGGACACTTTACGAGGCAAACGCGAGCGCGAAGCTACCGAAGGAGAAGACCAGCACCACTGCTCGGAGTGGCTTACTACAGCCACTCGGCACAAACCATTGCACAAAAGGCAATATCTCGCATAGGTTACGGATTGTTTCACCTCGTTCGACGCAGTCGACGGCTGGGTGGGCTTCATTTACCTGCTGGAAAAGTGGCCGCCGCCGCATTCATCACGTGGAAGCCAAGAATAATTGTCTCCGAGGTAGACATTGGGCATGCCAAGCACTGGCTGTGCTTAAAATATGCGAGATGGTTGATAACTCTGGCATCGGCCCCAGGTGAAGAAGCTCACGTGCCGCGGGGGAACCCGCCCGACTTAATTCACGCTGCCCAGCAACAGACACAGCAGACCAGGCATCAAATTTCCAAAATCATTGTGCTGTCGAGTGACAGACCTGAATGATCCGGGAGCGCCCCGCTACTTCATACACGGGGCCAAAGTGGCGAACGCACCGAGCATGTTGGACGTCGGTCTGACCTGCCGAAGAGAAGACATTCCTAAGCAGAACTCGGGCTGGCTGATGATTCATGGATGCCCGTATTTGCTTGGGGATGGGCGGATCCAGGCAGGCCTGCGGACGGTCTCCGAAGTTTTGATCGTAGTACGCCTCGAGAGTCTGATTCGCGACAACATCCCGGTCTTGCGGGCTGCCAGCGATATTATCAGGATTCCGGGCGTCAGCGGCCAAATCCCAGTGAGCGAACATTCGTATTCGACTGTATTGGGAGCTTCCGGCACCACTGCTACCCGGAAAAGGGGGGCAGCGACGCGCCCAAGACGAGTTACGAGCGTCGATGACGATCGTAACTCGTCACCGACGGTCGTAACTCGTTGGGCGCCGTGCGCAGCTACAGCTTCTGGGCGCCGCCTCCATGCAGCCGCAGCTGTGGAATCGCAGCGAACAGCACCGCCACCATCACTATCATATATCTCAACATTCGCGTGGTTCGAAACAGTCCCACGGACTGTTTTAAAGCGCCCTGGCGTGCTTTAAAGCAGCCCCAGGGGAAAGTTGTCGCTAAGTCTCTGAGTCTCGCTATTTCCGTTTCAGGATATAGTCGAGGGGCGATCATCAAATTTTATTGATGACCTTTTGGGGGGAAATTCCTTGACTATTTATAGTGTGTCCTCCAAAATCCGCCTGTGGGAGGACATGCCCGACCTGATACCACAGCTTGTGAGGGCTTCTGGCGGGGCCCAAAACGGCCCAAGACTGTCTCAATCTGTTTCAAGAGCCTCCAGCGGGACCCAATATGTCCTGTGCAGTCCAAGAGAGTTGAAGATGTTCTTGAGAACTCCCCTGGGGAATTTCCTGAGAAAGCCCCTTAACAACCCTAACTTGCCGAAGAGTTTTCCACAGGTTTGGAAAACGACCGCGAGAGGGCCCAAGGGAGGCGCCACGAATCGCGAACGACGGCCTCGGCGACGAGTAACGACCCCCAACAGCCCGCAGCAGCAGTTCGCACCATGTAGCAAACAAAAACCGAAAGCGGCAGCAGGCAACGGCTACAGCATGAATCCCGTCAAGGATCAGTGATCCTCGCTGTGCCCAAACTTGGTTTCTATACTTGGCTTCGTGGGCTTCAAGAGGCGTCCAAGATGTCCCAAGAGAGCACCAGGAGGGTTCACAAACGGCCCGTTGTTGCCCGAGGGGGTGACCAGGACAGCTCAATAGGGCCTAGGAGGCTCATAAGGGCTATCAGATACCTCACGGTCGGTTCCAAGAAGTGCTACGCTAGTCCCGAACGGCACTGCCACAATCGCCCTCAGCCTTCAGCATGTTTTCAAGATGCTTTCAGAAGGACTCCGAAGTGGCCCAAGGGTTTTCCATTAAGCACGTAAAATCGCCCAAGAGTGCCCCAAGAGCCCCAGAAGACGGCTTGCAGAGGGACCCCCATACATTGCTGAAGACGGCCACAAGACGGTCCCAGAGATCCCCCAAAAAGGCGTTGTCCCCAGGCGGTTCAATTGGCCCCAAGAGGGCCGCAATGGGACCCCGAGCTGCCCGCAAGATGCCCCATGGCAGCTCAATATGGCCCCAAGAGAGGCGCCTATAGGATAAGAGGACCCCCGAACGGCACAGAACAAGCACAACAATTACCAAACAGGCCCCAAAATATTGGGCAGTAAGCCTCAGCATGCAGCATGCAACAGCATGCAGCAGGAGGCAGTGTACCCACCGGTTTATATCCAGACTAAGACAGCGCACTGCCACAAAAGCGTCCAGGACGGCGAAGGCGTCAAGACGGCCCAATGGAGATCCAAGGTGTTGCAAAGGCGGCAGGGGAAGCCGCCAGGACATCCCAAGAGGCCCCAGAAGGTTCACGAAAGGCCTTAATAGAATCTCCATCTGAGAAGCCCGGAAAGCCAAAGCCATTGGACAGGCATTCGCGTTCATTGGTTGTTGTGTCGGCGGCTTTTCGGTTGACTGCGCAGCAAGGCGCCGAAAGGGCGCCGAGACGGCCTCACGGAGCATCCAGTGCCCCGAACACACCCAGCGACAGCTCGAGTGGCCCCCAAGACGTCCCACAAGGGCTGCAAGTTTGCTTTGGGACCGTCCAAGAGCGCTCAACACTTGTTCAGGAAGACGTGCCCAACAAGGTCCCGGAAATACCCAATTATTTTCAAGGAGGTTTGGGCACAGGGACGTCTGCAGCAGCGCTTGTTATAGGGGCCATGCACTTTCGAGCAGGTTGTTCCATTTTCGCTGAAATCCCAGTTGTGGAGTAGCGAGCCCATTGTATGTCACAGCCGATTGTGCCCCTGGGAGCAAGGGGCACGATACTGAATCGTGTCTCAAGGCGCTCCAGCGCTGAGAAGGACCAGCGTCGGATACGCTAGGACCTTCGTTTGGGTGGGGTTCGGAGGGCAGGCAACTGGAGAGGCCACGGTTCGGGTTCGCCACATCATCTTCGTTGGCTTCTTGGGGCGGGGGAAGACGTGATGCTCCGAGGCCTGAAGAAGTTCGGCAGGCACGAGTTCCGCAGTTCTGAGGTCTGAATCAGGCCAACCGAGATCCTTCTCACTAGCACCATAAGGTACACGGTGTTCATGTGTTTGTGTGTGTGTGTTTGTATATATGTTTGTCAGTCAGTCTGTCTGTCTGCCTGTCTGTCCGGCTGTCTGTCTGTATGAGTGTCTGTGTACTGACGTCTGCGTGTGTCAGTGGCACCACTGGACGGCTGCTCGAAGTCCTCAGAGCAACGAACGACCGCCTGACTCAGCAGAGGGCCCAGCCGAGCCATGCACAGGGGTCGGACGCTCATGCCACGCGAGGCCCAGCGTCCGAAGCCACTCCGGGGCTCTTCCGAAAAGAGATGCAGGGACAGGTAGGCCCCCTGCGCTCTAGGCGAGTGTGTGTGTGTGCGTGTTTGTGCGTGAATTGCTCAGCTGCTTTCTTGCTCGGAGGCCTCGTCCGCTCAGCCTGGTGGCACCTGCACGGGGGGCCGGCGAATCTACGTCTTCGTCATGTATACTTTCTTCGTTATGCGTTGGCCTTCGGCACATCCCTCTGCGACCCATTGCGAGCCCTACCCCTGCGGGTCCCATCGTCGATCATACCCCCACCGGGGTTCGCATGGCTGCAGACATCATTCGGATTATGACTCCCAGCCGGCGTTTCAGAAACCTGACCTGCAGTGGTAGGGTTCACATGTGGTTGACGACATCTGCCACCGTGCCTGGGTCGTTGACCAGCTGCATCTGAGAGGGCGGAGGCTGCTTTGGGGCGTCTCGGGGGCCACACGCAGGCCTCTCGGAGACACCTCTGGGGCCTCCTTCCTGTGGACCTTTTGGCGGCCTCTAGGGACATCTGGGGGCCTCTTGGGTGCTCTCAGGGGCTCTTTTTGGAGGCCTGCAGGCATTCTAGGGGATCACCCTGCAAACTATCACTTCGCGATCTCCCTCTTAGACCCCTTTTTGGGGACATCTTGGTGGGCCTATTGGGCCACTGTTGGGGGCCTTGTGGGCCGTTTTGGGTCGATCTTGGGGGCCTCTTTGGCTGTCTTGAGCGCTCTTGCGATTGACTAGCCGAATGTATCAAATCATGCAACAACTCATTGCGTTGTCATGATGTGGGTCAATTGGGCTGGCCCTTGAGGCCACCATGATGGTCCCATAGGTCGTCAAGATCACCCCCAGACGATGTCTTGAGGCCGCATGAGAGCGTGTTGAACACTGAACGCCACGGCAACGCTCCCAAGACCTCTGGAAAGGTCACGCGGGGACTCCCTGGAGCGCGCGAGAGCGCCCAGAGCACAGGCATCTTGCCCCTGAGAAGGCATGTTCAATAGTCAGTACACAGGACTCTCAGGGACCCGGGGACACTCTACTCAGTGCCTTCGGCACGATGGCGGATCTTCGCGATGATGAACGTCATCACGTCGCAATTCGTCGACCAAACGTTGGAAGCCTCATCCAAGGATCGTCGCGACCACATGGTCTCCAGCCTTATGGACGCTTTCTCCAAGACAGGTGTTCGTGCAGAGATGGTGACCGAGGAAGATTTCATGAATAACCTCACCCACCCCTCCATGAGGAGCTTCTTGAAGGACTTGTACAGGCGGGAGGAGGTGAGCCCTGAGGAGATCCGGAAGTCGCGCCTTTTCGAGATGCTTGACGACGATGGATCCGGCGAGATCACCAGAGATGAGCTCGTCCTGGGATGCGTGAGATTGACTGGTAGCGCAACCTCGCTGGACCTTGCCGTGCTCAAGCTTGACGTAGAGAATCTGCGGAGAGATGTCGGGGACATCTGCGAAATGCACAGGGCTGAGGGCAGGATGGACAGGATGCCGTCAAAGAACGTCGTTCCGAGAAGTTCCTTAGGAAGCGAAAAGAACGAGAAGCGCGTGCCAATGGCAGCATGATTGATTCCTAACTTGCGGTAGTAAGGCCACCGCGTTTCACCCAAGTAGTATTCTAGATTCCTTCCGTCGCTGCGAGACTGCCTCACCCTCCCAGCCTCAACCTCAATTTTACCCTGCTGTCGAATCTCAACAGTTCAATACCAGGCCTGAGCCTCAATGTGTGGCCTGCGCCGGATCGATTGAGAGTTTTCGCGGTCTAAATCATAATCTAAAGGCTGCCGCCTCTGCCGCCGACCCCAATTGAGCGACGTATGTTTGATTCGTTTGTTGTCGGGGTGCCTTTCCGAGTACGACAGGAAGGGTTCAGGTGAGACATCCAGGCCTGAGCCTCGCCCCCTGGACTCATGATTCTCTGTTGCACCTTGGACTCCGCTCTATCGAATGGCCTTCCCGCCACTGTGCCTGGGATTTAGGTATGAAGCCTATTGGATGTTCGTCAGCCCTCCGAGAGGACGTGAACGACGCGGGTTTCACCCCGATGCGACGCCAAGACGAGGGTTCGGGATCGGACTAATGTTGTGGGGTGAGCTGTTTGGCCACGGGGCGGCCTCCTCATGCTCGAGGAGGCGGCCCTGCGGCCTCGCACAGCTCCTCCGATGTGTTTTTGATTTTGGCCACTGGGTGGCCGAGGCCTTGCGCCTCGGACCTGGTTCGGCCGCTCGAGGCCAAACAAAACAATACACCTCCTGTGCAAACTTTGTAGACGAATGTGCGCGGCGCCAAGAGGAGAGTCCAATTTCGAGAACGGTCCGCTGCCCTGCAACTGTTGCAGATGTGTAAGACGATTGTGCGCGGCGCCAATGCGAGAGCCCCATTTTGAAAACCACCCGCCCTCCATCCCTGGAACTGGTCCAACATGTCAGGCTTCAGGCGCATACATTGCGGGGAAGTCTGAGGCACTGTAGCGCAGAGTAGCGACAGATGCCTCAGTGGCCCATCGGAAGCGAAAGTGCGAGGAGGCATAACAGGTTCAGATTGAGGCCATAGTGGGACCATCTTGAGCCACCTTAGGGCCATCGTGGGCCATTGTGGGGCCATTTAGGGGCGATCTTGGGATTGCCTTTGGAGCTATATGGGGGCTATCTTGAGCCATCCTGGGACTATCCTGGGCCATGATGGCGCAATGTTTGGGTTCATTGGCGTCCACATCGGCTCTTAGGTTCGGCTTTTCTAAATGGTGTAACATCAGGGGTATCGCAACGCCACGAGTAAGAGCCGTTTTGCACTTCCCAGCTCCCCGCAAGGAGCTATGTTTGGGCCATCTTGAGCCAGTTTGGGTCATAGTGAGGACATGTGTGGGCCCTCTTGTGGCCACCCTGGGCCCTCCCAGTTCAATGTTAGGCTATGTTGGGGCCACATTGGGACTACCGTGGCTCCCACCCCAGCCCCCCTCCTCACAATGGTCAGGCCTTTATTGTCCCTTCCGCCTGCAGAGGCGGGGAGAACAGGCCACGCGAACGTTTCCCCCGCCCTCCCTTGTCTCTCTCTCTCTCTCTCTCTTTCTGCTATCCCTTCCTTTCCCTTCCCTTCCCTCTCCACCATCCTGTCGCAGAGGGAGAGGAGCTCTTCGGTTGCTCGGCGTTTTGAAAAGGAGAGGCGGGGGAGGTTTTCCAGCACTTTGAGACTATCTTGAGCCATCTTGGGGCCACCTTGGTCGTCTTGGGGTTATTTGGGGGCCACCTTGAGACTATCTGGAGCCATCTTGGGGCCATCGTGGGCCGCGCTGGGGTGATCGTGGGACTACCTTGGCGAATTCGGCTTCAAGCTATTTTGGGGCCATGCTGAGAGCATCCTAGGGCCATCTTAGGCCATCTTGGGCCATGTTGGGACAATGTTAAGGCGAATTGGCGTCCGAATCGGCTTGTACTGTTGACAGTTGAACATAATGTAAAATCAAGGCTGTCTGACAATTAAGGGTAAGAGCTGTTTGGTATTTGCAAGCTTCCCGCAAGGAGCCACCCTCGGGTCATGTTGGGCAAGTTTGGGCCATATTGGGGCCATCTTGGAGGCCATATTCGGCCATCTTAGAGCCTTTGGGAAATATTGGTGGGGCCACTTTGGGGCTATATTGGGACCATCTTGGGGCCATCTTGGGACTATCTTGAGCCATCTTGGGGCCACCCTGGGTCATGTTGGGGCCACTTTTTGGGGTCAGTGGCGTCCGAATCGGCTCGTGTTCTTGATTTTTCCAAATAGTATAAAATCAGGGGCAGCGCAAAGTCAAGAGTCAGAGCCGCGTTGCACCTCCCAGCTCTCGCAAGGAGCTATGTTTGAGCCATCTTGGCCCAGCCTGGGCCAATTGAGGACAGTTGGGGGCCCTTGATGAGGAGGAACATGGAAAAAGGGCGGAGGAGAGAAAGTCGGGCGTCCTGGGCCGGTCTTGTGGGCTTTTGGAGGCACGTTGGAAGGTATCTTGAACGATCTTGATTTATTTCGACCGATCTTGGGGGCCATCTTGGTTTCTCTGGGGCCTTCCTGGAGCCATCTTGGGCCATCTTGCAGGCTCTGACTGCTCGCGGAACGCCCCCCTCCAGGTCCAGAGGGAGGGGGGAAGGGGAACTACGTCCCCTAAGGGAATAAATGGGTTTTAGCAGCACGATTTCCCTAGACCACTGACGACCATAGACGAATGTGCGCGGCGCCAAGGCGAGAGCCGCAATTTGAAATGGAATCACCCTCCATCCTTGTAACTGTGCAAACTTTGTAGACGAATGTGCGCGGCGCCAAGAAGAGAGTCCAATTTCGAGAACGGTCCGCTGTCCATCACTGTAACTGTTGCAGGTGTGTAAGACGATTGTGCGCGGCGCCAATGCGAGAGCCCCATTTTGAAAGCTACCCGCCCTCCATCCCTGGAACTGTTTCAACATGTCACGCTTCAGGCGCATACTTTGCGGGGAAGTCTGAGCCACTGTAGCGCAGAGTAGCGACAGAGGCCTCAGAAGCCCGTCGGAAGCGAAAGTGCGAGGAGGCAAACAACTGTGCTTTGCTTAAGGTTTTTGAAGGACTTGGGCTTCTCGAGGGCCTCCTTCGGAGGCTCCTTGGCCATCTATATCCGTTTTAGGGCGGTCTTTGGAGTCTCTTGGAAGTATGTTGTGTGGCGTCCCCAGGGGAGGGGGTAGGGAGAGGGGTACACCCCGCCACGAAGAGGAGGAGGGGGGGTGGGAAGACGGGGAATGTGTTTTCCCAGGGTTTCCTCCCATGGTGTCCTTTCAGGGTGTCCTTCCAGGGTGCCCCCGTCCTTTCTCCTCTTTTCCATTGTGCTGATTCGCGAGGGTTGATGATAGCACCGTCGACGCAGTCCACATCAGCGGTCGCAGCGTCAGGGCAGCAGTGCCCTCTACCCTCCTCCCTTCCTCTGTAATGCTCCGCAGGCGTTGACTGTAGCACTGTGCACTGTCGACGCAGTCCAAAACGGAGGTTGCTTGGTCTGCGCAGTACAAGCTCCATTTCGTTATGCATTCTCTTCGGAAGTACCGTCGTAGGCACAACGCCAGGGCAGTGTTTTATACGAAAGTACTTAGTCCAAAGCAATCAGTTCCGACTTCTGGGTGACAGGCAGCAGCAATATTGCTTCTGGAGATAGGCAATAGCAAGACCACGTCTGTGCTATCACGGTGTCCTGCCGCCATTGCTCTTACTCAGGCCAGGTGGCGCACGGCGCGTGTGAATTGTTGCAAAGAGGATTTCTGATTGGGGGTGTGAAAAACGAGCGGGGGTGATAATGTTCGATGACGAGAGTCTTGTCCGGGCCTCATTCTCCTTGTTACGCTGGTTGCCGCTCCCTGCCGGCTTGCAGTCCCAGTCCGGTACCGTACTTCTCTTTGTGCTTTCCGATACCGTTTTTCGATGCGCGTGCATGGGCTGATGTGCTCCTCCCGCCTTCCTGGGGCATCTTGGGGCCATCTGTAAGGCTGTATTGGGGGGTTCTTGGGTCGCCATCTCAACTTGAGGCCGTATTGGGGGCATCTTGGGGCCATCTCTGAGGCTGCGTTGGAGCGCTTTGGGTCCCATCTTCACTTAAGACTTTGCTGGGGCATCATGGGGCCATCTCAAAGGCTGCATTCGGGAGTTCTTGGGGCGCCATCTCAACTCAAGTCGTTTTGGGGGCGTCTTGGGGCCATCTGTAAGGCTGTTTTTGAGAGTTGGTGGGCGCCATCTCAACTTGAGGCGCTATCGGGGCATATCGGGGCCATCTCTAAGGCGGTTTGGTTGCGCCGTGCGTTTCAGTTGTCGTGTATCCCAGACAAGACTTATTTATCACATTGTGTTCTTGTCTGCAACGCGCTGAGATTGCTACAATCCCGTCTGCCGCGCGCAGCCTGGGAGGAATGGGGCGGGCCCGATGCGATCACCTAGAATGTGAGCAACCCACTCCAGTCTGGCGGGCCCGATGCGATCACAATAGCGAGCATCCCGCCAGGGCGTGGCAGGCCTGATGCGATCACAGCAAGTGGGCATCCTGCCACGCGGTGCGACTTTGTTGGTGTGGCGCGCCTACTGTTGAGGAGGCTGCGTTCGCGTGCGCCCACCGCACCTCTTTCGCCCCGTCTGTCACACGTTTCCGGAGGCCCCAGAGGCGGGGTTCACATGCGCCCCCCGCCTACCTGATTGGACATATTGTGACCTGAGTGGTTCTAGGCAACGGCAATACCGTTCTCGCGGGCGGCGGGATGTTTTCGAGGCGTCGTTGAATATGCATACAGTTGGCAATGAATCCCTTGATGCGAGTACCGGTTTGGACACGCATGATCGGCCTCTTGATGAACCTACACATCGCATTGACCATAACGCTTGCATCAACGGATCATATCAGTTATATAATGTTCTTTCTCGACATCCATGTTTGAAGCTATTGATTGTCCTCCTATCGGTCGACGTTTTTCGTCTAAATGGATAGCTATGCGTCCACCGACTCACAATTGAACCCTACATATGTATGTATGTGTGTACATTTATACACAAACATACATATAATATAAATATCGTATACATATATACATATGCGTATCAGCGCATGCACTTGCGCATAACGTGGACATACAGGTACATGTATATACATATGTATGAGATACATGTTTGTTAATGTAGGTATTTGGATCAACGCCCGTCGTCCACGGCATTTGTTATGGCGTGACCTATAACAATGCCTGCTTCCTGTGAGACGTGACGTAGATCTATCTAACGATATACCAGCAACTATAGTTGTGCATAGTCGTGTACATGAACCCTTTATACATGTATTCCCTACCTAGGCTCTGTCTAGAAGGGTTCTTACTGTATGGGCTTCAAGGGGCCTGGCAGTGGGAACCGGCCCGGGCGGTTCCCCCGGCATCCGCCCCGCGGTTCCCCCAGTTACGTCCCCTTAGCTCAGCGTTGCTTATCTCATCTCAGCTTAGCTTATTTCATCTTAGCTTAGCTTAGCTTCATCTTAGCTCAGGCTTATCGTAGCTTAGCTTACCTTCATCTTAGCTTCGCTGAACTCTAGCATAGCAGAGCACAGCATAGCATAGCATAGCGTAGCATAGCATAGCGCAGCACAGCATATCATAGCGTAGCCCATCATAGCATAGCATAGCATAGCATAGCATAGCTTAGTATAGCACAGCGCGGCATGACATAGCATAGCTTAGCATAGCATAGCATAGCATAACGCAGCATAGCATAGCATAGCATAGCATAGCACAGCGCAGCATAGCATGGCATAGCATAGCATAGCATAGCATAGCAACTAATGCTGCTTTCCTAGGGGCTCCAACTTCTAGGTAGGGTCGCACTGGGGTGATCTTCTTTTCGATATATGCTGTCTACCTGGATCAATTCCCGTTGGCCGCGGGATCGATTTTGGCGCCACCTAGATCGAAGCCCATCGCCAGCGGGGCAGGTTTTGGCGTTACCTCCATCAGGACCCGTCGCCCACTGGACTGGTGTTCGCGTTAGCTGGGAGAAAGCTTGTCGTCCGCGGCACTTGTTTTGGCGCATCGTAGAACAAGGCCTGTCGCCTGCGGGACCGGTCTCGGCGTTAGTTAGATCCACTTAGCGATATACCCCTTGGTCAAGAAGTGCATACATTTGCACATGAACGCATCCATTCCTTTACATATTCATTTCGTGGGCAGCGTGGTGTGGTGTGCCCGTCGTCAAGAACATGGTGTCGTTGCTGCGAGAGGCGTTTGGGCGTCAGGGTGTTTCCATCTTGGGGCTCTGCAGTCTTGTCTAAGGTAACAGATGTCCCCCGGAATTCTGAAGTCAGAATTCCGGTGTCATTCAAACCGGTCCGCGTATCCCCACTAGTCCACCACGAAATGTTATCCAGATTCTTGCGCGCTCGAAATTCTTCGTTGCGTGTTCTCCTATCTCTTCCGTTCCAGGGTTCCTGGGCTCGAGTAGTTTCGCCTGCGGCGCCGTCGACATTCATTTTTGCCCATTCCAGGCGTGTCTCTCGAGGCCATGCCGACAGTGACCGGCGCCGAAGTTGTGGCAGCGGAGGCGCATACGGAAAAGGCTGTGCAGTCGGAGGATGCCGCTGTTGGGGTAGGCGGCGTGCAGTCGAAGGAGGCTGCGGTTGAGGTAGGCGACTGCGCGTCTGCCGAAGGCGTCGCGCAGTCCGAGGAAGTTGTGATTGAGGCAAGCGCAGTGGAGCGGATGCAGGCCGAGCTCGACAGACTGCGAGGCGAGAGCGACCAGTTGCAGGCAATGATAGTCCGCGGGGATGGTTGCAGCGGGGCGGGGTCATCAGATGCAGTCGTCGGTGGCAGAGCGAAGGCGGAGTGTGGGGGACGCTTGTTCGATGTGACGGTTACGGCGGTTTTCGAGAACAGCGTTCGTGTGAAGTGGGATTACGACGAGTCGGAGTGTGAGGTGTCCAAATATACAAGTTGGTTGAAGGCAAATTCCGTGCGCGCGAGCACCAGGCACCAGGTGCGTGTCCTTCCGCCTGAAGCTTTCCATGGGTCGGCGTCATCATGTGTAGCCGTCGGTGCCACAACGCAAGCGGATTATGAAGGCCGTGCATTCGATGTTACGATTACGGAGGTGTTTGAAACGAGCGTTCGTGTGAAGTGGGACTACGACCAGTCGGTGTCCGAGGAGCCCATAGATGCGATTCGGTTTAAGGTGGATCTCGTGCGCGCCAGCGCCGCGCCCAGAGCGCCTGTTACTCTGCCGGAAGTTCTCCACGGCAGAGAGCCAGGGCATCGGGCATGCGGGCCGGCAGAGCGGCTAAGCGTTGGCGGTTTCAAGATGGACGATGAGGAATGTCAGCACGCCGAGCGCTGGACCAGGGCGGACTCCCGGTGATTCCTATTGGCACGCGCAGCCGAAGAATAATTCTGAGGATTGGCAGCTCGGCCAGCGGTGGAGCGCGCCAGACCCTGATGGAGATTTCGACGGGTGCGCTCAGCCACAGAGCGAGCAAATTAAGGTGGACGACTTTGTGCAGAAAGTGTCCGGTTCGGGCCGGGTCGGGCCGGTTCGGCGGCGGACCGGTTCGGTTGCAGCGGTTCGATTTCGGCGCCGGTCGGGTTTTGGTCGGTCCGGTTTTGCCAGTCCGGGTCGGTTATGCCGGTTCGGTTCGGCGGTCGCGGGACGGTCCGGTTTTGGGGGGGCCGGTTTTGGGCCGGAGGAGGAGAAGGAGGAGGAGGAGTGAGGAGGAGGAGGAGGAGGAGGTTTAGGAGGTGGGCGAGGAGCGAGGTGCCAGGAGCGCGGAGCGAGGAGGCTCGCGCGCCCATCGGCTCCGCGCCCGGCGAGGTGCCTCGCTGCAGTCGTCGTCGTCGTCGTCGTCGTCGTCGTCGTCGTCGTCGTCGTCGTCGTCGTCGTCGCCGCCGTCGTCGTCGTCGTCGTCGTCGCCGTCGTTGTCGTCGTCGTCGGGCGCCCCCGGACCTCTCGGCCCCGGATCCCTCATGCCGCTCTTCCGCTCGTCTCCGCGGCCCCGGGGCCGGAAAACGCGGGCCTCCGGGGGCCCGGGGTTCGGCCGCCTGGAGCTGCTTTGCCGCCTGGAGGAGGAGGGAGGAGGAGGAGGAGGAGGAGGGAGGAGGAGGAGGAGGAGGAGGAGGAGGAGGGAGGAGGAGGAGGAGAGGAGGGAGGGGGTCCTCGCCTCCCCCCCCCCCGCGCCCTGCTGCACCCCCGAGGGGGGTGCTGGCACCGGGGTGGGGGGGCCGGCACCAGGAGGGGGGGGCCGGCACCGGGGGGGGGTGCCGGCACCGGGGGGGGGGGGCCGGCACCGGGGGGGGGGGGTGCCGGCACCGGGGGGGGGGGGTGCCGGCACCGGGGGGGGGGGGTGCCGGCAACGGGGGGGTGCCGGCACCGGGGGGGGGCACCGGGGGGGGTGCCGGCACCGGCCGGGGGGGGGTGCCGGCACCCGGGGGGGGGGGGGGCACCGGCACCGGGGGGGGGGGGGGGGCGGCAGGGGGGGGGGGGGCCGGCACCGGGGTGGGGGTGTGCCGGCACCGGGGCTCATCTGGGGGCTTTCTTGGGTCGGTGGGGAGTCCCGGGGCCCGGTCCGGTTCCACCCGGTTCGGGCTTGCCGTTCGGGCCGGTTTCGACCGGCCGGTTGTCCGGTTTCAGCCGGTCCGGTTCGGGCTCCGGTTCGGGCGGTTCGGTTGCAGGAGCCGCCGGTTCACGGTTGCCAGTTCGGTTCGGATTTTTCTTGTTTGTGGAGCCGTGCCTGAATGAGCTCGCGGCGATTTCCCCGAGGGGGGGGGGGCGTTCGCCGCCACTGCCGCCCCCCTTTCCTTTTCCCGGGTCGTCGGCCAGAAGGTCGGCGAAAATTGGCGTCGAGCAACTATTCGTTTGGCAGCCGGCTCCGACGAGTTTGAGGTGGTCGCTTGGGGCGAAACCGCGGATCAGGTCACCCGCATCGACCGCAGTTTCACTTATCACGCTATTCAAATCACGAAGTGACGCCTTGATTCTCGGTGGAGTGGGCGTGGACCCACCGCGAGGCGGCGAGGGGCGCCTCGTCGTCTTTCCAAGTGGCAATGGCGAGCCAAGACTGGGCGCGCGTCCACCTGACCGGGGCGGTCCACGCTACCCTCCCGGGCAACAGGTTCACGCCGGCGCACCTTGTTCACGACGGGCTTTTCGTCGACTTTCGGGTCATCGGCGAAGCCCTGCCGAGCTGATCGAGGGGGCGAACGCGCGTGGCCATTGAGCTCGCCATCGTGTTTGCATGGGCGCAGCGCGCGAGAAGGCAAGGGAGCTTCCTGCGAGCGGTGCGCCGCCAGAGATCATGCGCCCGGCGCCACTTGATGAAGCGCTGGACAAGATTTTGACGCAGAAGGCAGCGACGCCAGCGCCGCGACCGGATGGGCTGGCGGAAGCAGCGGGAGTCTTGGACAGCACGAAGGGAAACGCCGTGGTGCTCGAAATAGTTTCGATGAAGGAGACATCAACGCCCGGCGCGTGGAGGCCGCGCGCAGTTTCGCGCAGCGCCTGGCGCCAGACCGCGCGCATCGCGGGGTTGAGGGGGGCGCGGATGATGGCGAGGGCGGTTCGGAGGATGGAGAGCGGAGGGAAAGACGACGCCGATTCGACGAGCCGGGGCCGGGCCTCAACGATGCACAGGGACGGCCGGAGGAGGAGATGCATGGCGACGCGGGCGCCGGCGGATGGCAAGCGAGTCGATCGATTGCGCGCGTGCGCAGGGGGCACCATGATGGGCAAGTTCGGACCGTGCGTCGGAGTAGTTTTCGCGTTCATTTTCAAATGCTGCACGGGCATGCCGGACATGTCAGAATTCCTGCAGCGCCCGCGATATCGAGCCACCCGTCCGCCTCGTGAACGCTGGCGCGGCCAACCGGAAAGGGCTCCATGGCGCGCAGGTGGCGCGCGACGATATGGCACCGCGAGTGGGCCCTTCGACGATTGACGGGGCCGGGGCCCCCACCCGCGAGTCAGCAGGCGTATCGGCTTCCACGCGTGGTTCGGGCACGGCCCTCTTTGATATGTCACCCGCGGCTGGCGGGGCGGGCGCCCTTGCCCGCTAATCCACAGACGCGGAGGCTCCCGCCAGTCGGTCAGGTATGGCTGTGTCTGATTTGTCATCGCGAGTAGGTCCCTCGGCGAATGACGGGGCTGGGGCCCTCGCCCGCGAGCCCGCGGGTGCGTCGGCTTCCGCGAGTGGTTCGGGCACGGCCCAGTTTCTGATGTCACCGCGGGTGGGGCCCTCGGCGGCTGACGGGGCCGGGGCCCCTGCCCGCGAGCCCACAGGTGCGTCGGCTTCCACGAGTGGTTCGGGTACGGCCCAGTCTCTTATATCACCGCGAGTGGGGCCCTCGGCGGATGGCGGGCCTGGGGCCCCTGCCTGCGAGTCCACAGGCGCGTCGGCCCCCGCGGGTGGGTCAGGTGCGGCCCAGTTCCTTGCGTCACCGCGGGCCCTCGGCGGCTGACGGGGCTGGGTCCTTGCCCGCGAGTCCACAGGTGCGTTGGCTTCCGCGAGTGGCTCGGGCACGGCCGATTTGCTTGCGTCGCCGTGAGCGGGGCCCTCGGCGGCTGACGGGGCTGGGGCCTTTGCCCGCGCAGCCGCGCAGCCTGTTGGGTATGATGGGCAGGGATCCGCGGCTCTCGGATCAGCTTGCCTGTGACCCATAGCGGTCAGTGGTAATTCCCCGCAGCCAGTGAGGTCTGCTGATGCATTGTGGCGCGATGATCTGCGCGAGCTCCTGGGTGAGGTGGCTGGCCCCTCCGCCGGGGGTGCAGCTAGTGCAGAAGTGGTCACCGGTGATGCGTTGTTCGAGGTCGATGATGTCCAGGAAGCTCTTCGCTTTCGTTCTGACCTTGGGGGGGATTCGGCCAGCTGGCGCTGCCCCTGGTCATCGCCCTCCCCTTAGGATTCTTCTTCGGGCAAAGTGGCGCTCGGCCCGCAGTGTTGGGGTCAGGTCGGCGGCCCCCATCATCGCCGCCCACGTCTGGCTCGATATGTTCGACAGCGAAGGAGAGAGGATAGCTTGCATCGCTGATCACAGGAGGGCAGTGGTCACAGCTGCGCAAGTATGAGTGTGGGCATGCCCCAAGTTCGCGGGCGGTGTCTTCTGCGCGGTGGAGATGTTTCCTTGCTGCATCGGTACACGGCTTGCGATGGATGGCCTGCGGATGTCCAGTTATTTATGCGTCTCGGGCGCCTGGCCCAGCGCGCCTGCGGCGAGTTCGATCCCCGCTGTCTGCTGGAGCGTAGTTTTTCCATGTCCTGAGCGCATCCCGACGCCTGTGAGAACAAGTGGTTTGCGTTGGTTGGGCCGCTGTCAGGTACGCACTATCTGGACAGATCCGCGTATGACGGCGACTTCGAGAGGTGCGCGGTCGTTGGGTGGGAGGTCATTGCCCAACGAGATGACTGATCAGTTTCGACTCGGTATGTCGGGTGTGCTGCAGGCGCCCTTCGTTGATACTAATGGAGGGGAGCGTGTAGCCTTGGCATCGGATCTCAGTCGTGCAGCCCCTTCCGTCGTCGCGGTGGCCGACAGCTCCGTCGTGGTCAAAGGCCTGCTGGAGCGCGGCCCTGCGAGGGCGACCTCGTTTGGCTTTGCGAGGGCTGATCAGCGGCGCGGTGCGCGGAGGTTGATCGACGACTTTGGAGGCGTTGGGCCGAGCGAGCTGTTCGCAGAGTGCCAGCGCACGCCGGGCACCCCGCGCTAGCCGAGGGCGGCGCCATCAGCTACCCCGACCTGGCTGGGGAATGGGCCGGCCGACAGGGCAGCCAAGAGCGCGGCGGATTTTGGTCGCATCCCAGCCCGCTGTCGCGACCAGCTCCGCGAGGCGCATCAGTTGGTGGAAGGAGTTGCGCGGCGGGCGTCTGCTGCAGGCGCAGCTCTGGGCGGGGCGGGCGCCGCGCATTGAGCGGCGAAGTCGAACGAGAGGGCCCCGAAGGACATGGAGGTCGTGCAAGTGCCCAGGCACATGCGCGACCTACGTGGGCCCGAGGGGACGGGGCGTGCTCGCGCTGCAGGTGGAACAAGAGAGCTTCCGATTGCGCGCGCAGCGAGCTGGCGCCTGCGCCGGGTTACAATCGGAGGCGTCGCGAAGAAGATCGGGCAACTCACGCCCTGGTGGCCCTCTAGCCAGTGCGAGATGTTGGTCTTCGCGAAGGAGCTGCCAGTCGTGGCGCGCTCTGCGCGGTGCCGCGGCGGCGGCGAGACCGCGCTCGCTCAG